TTTTTTTTTTTTTTTTTTTTTTTATAATGTAAAGGGAACAGTAGAGGTGAAGACGGCCTTCGCTGGGTGGCGGTGATCTGTGAACTCTCCCTTGTGTTTTGCACAGTGGTTTTGTTGCCAACTTGGCATATTACCATTTTGAGAATCGGATCCTCAAATATTCAAGTCCTGCTTACGAAAAAAAAAAAAACTGCTGCTTACGAAGAGTGCATCCATATTATCATAGCAAATTCTCTTGTTTGTGGGTATACCTGAATATAGTAATATACCATCAATTTGGACAGACAGACCGCATCAGGCTCTTGGCCTCTGAGGATATCACCTGGTGGTGGTAATGTTGTTTGCAATCACGCGGCAAGCCTAGTAGGCTTGTTTGTACGTAGCGGCACAGTAAAAGGGGAGCTACACGAGGAAATAAAAAAAAGGGGTACCCCAAAGAAAGCCAAAGTCAAGAATAGCAAAGAAAGGACCATGCTGTTTGCCATAGAGGTAAAGGTGTTCCAGTCATGGATTCGCTAGTCTTAGTATGCTTCATCGGTTAGATCTAGATATTTTTTCTAGAAATTTTAGATAAGAAAAAGACTACGAAGGTGAAGCTGTGGATCTGCTCATCTGGGTGGAAAAGGGTTGTTGTGGTGATAATTAATTTACAACACACAGACACATACACTTTACGGGTTTTATAGGGTGTGATGGGGCAGTTTCCTGGACTTACTGTTGTTATTGTCAGGGGTCTTAAACCACCAGTACTCGGACCAGCAATCGGCCGCAGAAAAAAAAAAAAAGAGTAGAAACATTTGTAGTCGGATGAATTTGGTACGTTTCCTAAAATTGTGGCGGGCACAACTTTTAAGTAAGTAGTGGTGGTTTAACTAGAAAGCCTGCTCGAGTTGGAGGGTCGGGCGATTGCTAACTTTATCCATCGGTCGAATGCAACGTGGGCAGACTCTCAGGCGTCGACCTCCTGACGAGTCGGTGAAAGTCTGACGAAAGGCTGTGTCAGTCACCCTTTCTTGTGGAGCTGTATTTGGCGAATCGAAAGCGCATCTTCTGGGATTGCACTCCATGATTTAGATGTGTTGTTGTATAGTCCCATTTGCTTGTCAATTTTTTTTTTTTTTTTTTTTTTTGGACCATTTCTCGATTTATGCGTGTCATCCTTGCTCAGGGGCCATGCTAATCTTTGTTCTCTGTATCGTTTCAATTTTAACGGATGTCCCGAAGGACATGCTTGTCAAATTTGTTAGTCTATTCCTTCGTAGTGTTTCATTAGTGTATGGTGAGGGTGAGGACTGGCCTACTAACCCCTAACTCTCTGAAGGGGGTAAATTGGTGCTTGCTTTGGGGCACGTGCAAAGTCAGTGATTCTGGTGTCCTTGCCTTCAAGAACTGTGTGGAACGGATGTCTAGTCCAACATAAGCTGACGTTTCTGGAGGCTTAGGAGAAAAAGGTCATGAGAAAGTCTTGTGCAATCAGGTGAGTAGAAAGCTAGCAGTTTCCCTAAATGATTTAATCACATTGTTATCTCCGGCCAGGCCAAGTGAGCTGGTTCTGGTTCTCATCTTTCGCTCTCGCAGAAGACTATCTTTGGCTGTCTGTGTCCTTGCTTTTGCTACAGGCTCTTCCCTTACGAGCTGTGGGTGCTTTTTGTGTCTTTGATGTTTCAGGGTGAGCTCGTTGAGCGCCTCTGGGATGATCCATGCGTCTTTTCCGCTAGCCTGTCATTGAAGGGCTTGAAATCTAATGTAAAAGCGCTTGCTGATGGGGATGACCACGGTCCGCAGCCCACGCCAGGAGGAGTAAGACACCCAGGTCAAGCGGAAGGAGCAACCCTATACCTTGTGCCTTACGAAATACTTAAGCAGATCTCTTGGATGGGAGGAGGGTTGCTCACTGAAGTCCCTATGGAGCTCACATCCATAGCAGGGGGGCTATCCCCAGATCGCCTCAGTCTGTTTGGCTTTGTGTGTGTTCCTAGAGAGAGTGAAGAGTCCAGCAATGAGCCTGGGAGTCGACAGCAACATCTGTCTTGGGAGGCAGGGACCGCCATCACCAACATTCAGTTGAACGGCCAGCCAAATATTGCAGATAATGGGAGTCCTGTTGATGAACCAATCCTTGCCGATGATCCCTTGTGCAAAGGTGTTAGCTGTGTAGACTTATCGGATTCTATGGCCCAAACCAACAGCGCCGACCCTGATAGAGTCCAGAGCAAGAAAGTGATTCTGGATGAGAGGGGGATTGATGCAGTGAGAAACGGGGACATCAATGGTGGTGGCAGTGATGTAGCAAAACAGAGTGGGTTGTTGCACGAAGCAACTGCATTGGAAGCATCGGACAGGTTGTCGCAGGGAGAAGGAAAGCTGGGAGAATTGGCTGATGCTGCATGCATGGAGTGGAGTTCTTGTGGACGTGAGTCAAGTGGAGCACTTGCTGCAGTGCTGTTCGTTGCAAAGCTAAGACGAGCAGTATCACGGAGGGGTAGGAGAGCCGGCGGGAATGCGACAGGAGCAGCTGGTAAGAGAGCTTTCCGTGCTGTTACTGTTGCGATCCAGTTTGTCTTACGGCTGAGACGGGCTGCAATGAAAACAATGGCCACCGATAGTGAGCTGACGAGCTCACACGGGTTGTGTTCTTCAAGCCAGGACCGTGAAACGCACAAAGTCGTTGATGGGAAGCAAAGCATTGTTGTGATGGAGGAACACGATCAAGCTTCTCTGAGGAGCAATCTCGAACGGGCCTTGATAGTTTATCCAGGAAAGCCATCTGGCGATGAAGATAAGCTATCCTCCGCCGCTGCTGGGGCAGACCAATTGCTGGTGGCAAAGGCCGCAGAGAGCATGCCAACTGTAAAACAACAAAGCTCTGCTTCTTGGCCTGGCACGGAATCGACCGAAGAAGACAAAACGTGGGATGAACTGGATGTCAAACCGCAGAGGAAGAGGAAGAGAGAAGCGGAAGATGGAAGGGTCAATCCGGAAGTCACTGGGCCTGATGCCGAAGAAGAAATGGAAGAGGGTGAATTGCGGATGGATGAGAACACGCTTGAGAAGAAGCGGAGACTGGGAGAAATGACAGGGAGGGAGCGGCTTTTTGTCCGAGGAAATGACAGAGGCATGGGTGTTTCCGTCAGTAAACCTGAGTTGGCGGAACAGGGAATTGAGGACCAGCAGACCATGGGATTGAATGCTGCATCGGTTGAAGACGCAAAAACCGTGCAGTCTGCTTACATGGCTGAAGAGTGCAGCAGATCTGTTGAGATGGGTGGCGAGTGTTGGGATCGTCCACAGGATGGCGCCGCTCTGGAAGAGCACTTGCACGAGGTCATATGCCACAACGATGGCGTAGATGCGTTGCCTCCTTCGGTGCATGAGCAAATTCAGAAGACCGATCCATGTGAGGTGTGTCTGATGGACAAAGCTGAACAGAACCCAGTGCTGTGTGCAGATGGAGAGCTGGATATCAAGGATGGGAATACCAATGGGGGGCTGAAGAGGAAAAGAGGGGAGGGCGAGTCGATGGCGGAAAATGGAGAGGCAGGAAAATTGTTTGCCACAAAATTTGGCTCGGAACAGTTTCCTGACAGTGGGGGACAAGAGGATGCCAGAGTTCCCACGGACCACGGTTGGGAGAACGAGGATAAGGAGGTGGTTGAGGAAGTTTCTCTGCTGGACTGTGATGCATCAAAGAGGGACTGGCTCTGCTCAAAGCACAACCTGGACTACTTGTTTGAGGAGTTTGGTGAGTTGTTTTTTCCTCCGTCCTTTTTCCTCCGCCCTGGTAATGCGTATGCTTTTTGTCTATACTTCACGCATTCAAATTTCAATTTGATGGTATCCACTGGACTAGGGCAGTGTGTTCATCCTCCTCATGGGCCCATGCTACTTTGTGGATTATATTCGAGTGGGCAATAACAGCTATGAAAATTTGAAGTGATTCTGACTGGGTGTTGTCAAATGGCTCATAGGGGTGAACATTACGGTACAGCGCAGAGGCGATTCAGGATGCAGCCAGAGTGGGTCTTTTTCATGTCCAGGTGAGTTTTCACCAATTTTCTAAGTTCAGCTTTTATCTTGGAAAATTCCTTGCCCTTCAAAATCGATGACTACAGCAGGCCGCTGTGCTGGTTTAGCCCTTTTCTTTTCGCGCCTTTTGTTCCCTCCCTCCGTTGCCCTTTCTCCTCGTTTTCCCTCCCTCCCTAGCGTCTTCCCCTGAACATAACACAACCTGATAATGAATGTATCAAAGGTATATTTCTGGTCAGACACAGCCAAAATAAGGGTACGTTGTGTTCAGGGGAAGACGGTAGTTTGACGAGTACTTCGACATGCATGCCGTTGTTGCCAATGTCAGTGACACTATCAAACCTGGGATAAGTTTCCCAGTGCACCAAGCATCAGACTTGCGATTGAGTAATTGGAGTCTAGTCCGTAGAAGTACCCATGTCCATGAAGGATTTGGGGTCAGCTGAGTTATGATGTCATTAGAAGATTCTCAGAACCTAGCTGGGGGTCAGCTGAGTTATGATGTAACCATGTCCTTCGTCCCGTTTTTAGCTCTTGGGCTAAATATTATCACGGTTGAACGTATTTGGTCAGACCTGTGTAAATGTTCCCCCTCACCTGTGAATGCTGTTGTGCTAATGATGTCTTTCCCTTGCCTTCCTCTCCTCGTCTGCCCTCGCCAATCATCCCCTCCACCCCCCGCACTCACATCCGCCCCTTGCCCTCCTTCGCTTAGATTTGCTCATGCTCTCAGTAAAGCTCTCTTCCCCTTTGCGTCAAGTTAGGCTGTGAAATGGGCTCCTTTTTGGGAAAGTCCAATGTGGCTCATTACAAGTCATCTCTCTCCTTCTGCCTCGCTAGTCTATGGCACACCGAACTTCCTTCAATGCCTCACTCCTCCATCGTAGCCTCTCCCTTCCGAGACGGGGATCTAGTCTGGCTCTTTGAACAACTCAAATTTCCTCCCTACCGTCTTCATTGGAATAGAACGCCTGGTCATTATTGCTGTAACAGCAACTGAAAATCGCACAAAATACAGGTATGATGAACGGGCGTTCTATTGGGGTGAAGACGGTAGCCGTGCTATCAACCCCTCTTCTTCCGGTTCTTGGACATCAATTCCTCTAACTTGCAATGTGACATAAGGCCACAAGCAATATTTAGTTCGCCATGCACCAGCGTGGATCTTGGCTTCAATTTAAACCACTAGTACTTGGCCCAGCTATCGGCCCGCGAAAAAATAGAGTAGAAACGTTTCTTGTTGGATGAATTTGGGCGCTCCTGCAGTGGCCTGTATGTTTAAATTGTGGCTTGCTAACGGGCACGACTTTAGGAAGTACTGGCGGTCTAACTGATAAGGGTGTCAGGTGTAAGATTTGCCAGTAGTTGCTTGTAGACAGATCGTTTTGTAAGTACATGGTGGAAAGTTAAGGAGTGTTGCTGAAGAAATCAAGATACATTTGGAGTGTTGCTTTAGAAATTCAGATACAGTGGTGGCTTGATTGTGTGATTGACTTGGTTGTGTTGCAGATAATGTGTATTTGAGGATATCGATAAAGAAGCCAGCGTGGAGCGACACCTCGGAGGCAGAAGATCTAGTGAAGAAAGCAGTGGAGAGAGTTCGGGTGCTCAAGGTACGAGGGCCTTTGCAGTCATACGTCTGGTACAAAGGCACAATGCCTAGAGTGGACGACCCTGTTTGCGAGCCAAGATTGGCAGTTCTGACACTGATGAATTTGATAAGGGGTGACGATGGGAGGAACCTGGAACGCATTGAGAGGCAGACAGGCGCAGCAGTTGAGTTTGTGGTTAAGAGTAAAGGCGGAGACATCCGGACGGTAGATGATGCGGAATGTACCATCCTCAAAGGGTTGGAAGTGTGGAATGTAGGGGTTAGAGTGCGATACCCAGGAAGAGGGGGGCTTGGAAAGGCAGAGCATGAAGCAGAAGGCTTGCTGGACAGCATTGGAGAAATCTTGGCCCGGAACAGAGGTGTTGCTGCAGTTGCTTCCAATCAAAGTGGGGTGAGTGTGGTTGGAAATGGTTTGGGCCCTTTCACTGCTCATGTCGGAGGGACCATTCTGGCCCCAATGAAGATTGCCATGAAATCAGACACTCGAAATGGGGCTGGGCCCGAGTCCGGTATCAGCTTTGAGCAAATCAAGCTCAAGGATCGAGTTGCAGAACCTGGGGGAGGGATCGCATTCAGCAAAGTCGCAACTGAGGAGTCAGGCGGCGTATATATGACAACGGTGTTTGGCGGGAGCTCCATTGGAGGGAGATTTGGAAAGCGTAGCAGGTCCATGGAGACAGAGGAAACAAATGAGCGTGATGGAGCAAAAGAAATCAGTGATGAGTCTCCAAAAGCGACAGTGTCGGACCCTAGTGATTTGCACCCTGAGGATGGGAAAAGAAAGGGAATGGATAACAGAAATCTGGCTGAAGCTTGTGCAGATTCTGATGACGCTGGTCCCTTTCAGATTGTGGAGGCACTGCAGTGTGGTGGCAAGATGGAGGGTGAGACAGGAACGGTGATGGAAGAACTGGGGATCGAGGACAAAGGAAATGATAAGGTCATCACAGTGAATATGATCAATCTGAACCGGGGACCAGCAGGCCCAGCTCGCTCATGGCTGGACCCTGAGATTTCCCCAGGAGGAGGAGCAGGAGGAGGAGGAGGGCAATTCGAATCCTCCAGAGGCATCTCATGCAAGAGCCGAGGAAGCGCCGGGAATGCCTTAGTGCAAACAGACGGTGCATGGAATACAAGGCAAGATGAGGGGAGGGGAGAGAGAACCCATGCATCACTGAAGCGGAGTGGAGGGAACGAAGACATGATGGAAGGGATGGAGACAACAAGCTACTTTCAGGAGGAGGTGGCACAAGTTAAGCGGCATGGGAGTAAGGGCATCGATCAACGTTATGAGGGTAGTGAGGCCCCTGGTAAATCTGTCCTCTCGGGAGGAGAGTCGAGCGGAGGAGGTAGAGGAATGGAGAAGGCAGATAGTGGTGGCAACAGACAATGGACTCAAAGTGGTGAAGCAAAGTGTCATAGCAGTGGAGCAAAATCCATTGAAGTTGCGAAGGCAAGGGAGGGTGCTGGTGCAGGTCCTTCCAAGGGACTGATGGATGGCAGCAAGACAACGGTGGGCACATGGCGTTCAACACTGGGCCGTGGTGGAGATGTGCATGAGGTGGATGCTCCCCACTCAAGGGACCCAAAAGGTAGCGCACGTTCAGGAGAAGGTGTACGGCAAGGCTGTGGCGCGTTTGGAGCACAAGGAGGGCCTGTAAGCAGACCCATGAGAGATAAAGAGACATGGAGATCGACACTTTATGTTGTCAGCCTTCCACGGGATGCAAATACACACATGCTGAAAAGAATGTTCAAGCAAATCCTTTGGGAGAATCGGGATATGGTTCCAAGCTTGCGAGAGGTTTGGAGCCGGGGGGGGGAGTATGTGACCGATGTGCGTTGCCTGTTATCAAAAGGTTGTGCTTTTGTTGAGCTTGCGGGTCCAGAGCTGGTCGAGGAAACATTGCGTCTTTTTGCAGAACGACCCCTTGTTTTCTGCGGGATGCATTGTGAGTTGAGCAAGAGCACGAGAGACAGGCACCCAAGAGAAGCGAGGTTTGTACAAAATGGGGATGCGCTGTCAAACGTTAATGAGCACCTGCATGGCATGCCGTCTGTGGACGATGGCCGTGGGATGAGAGTAAGGTCTCCCGTGGCCGGAATACGTCGAAGGGGTCCAATGGGTGATCGCCGAGACGGTCCCGCAGCAGCAGATGCCATCTGTATGACAGAAGAGGATATAGGACCCAAGCAGAGTTGCAGGGGAATGGACGTCCAGGATGACAGTTCCTATGGCCCGTACTATACTGGACCGCAGGATGTGAATGGCCCGCCCCACATGCGGAATCCCCGGTTCTGTCACTCCTTGCAAGAGCCTGTTGGTTGGAGCAGAGAGAGTGAGAGAGAAAGGGAGAGGAATCCGGACTTTGTAGAGCAAGATGCACGTGCTTCTAGGAGGTTGGGGGTGCCCCCACATGATGAGCCGAGGAGGTGGTACGGTGATGGAGAGTATGACGATGTTCCTAGGTCCGTATACGTAAAGAACCTACAGGAACATGCATCTGGCTTTACCGTGAGGAGCCTCTTTGAAAGAGTGTTGAAGGAGCATGCCGATCCCCGCATGCTGAGTGATGTCCGAAATCCTATCTTGCAGGTCAGAATCATATCCCAATATTGTAGGTACGCCTTTGTGGAAATGGCAACCACAGAACTAGTGAACTTCATCCTGGACCTTTACACTAACAAGCCAGCTCTGTTCCAAGGAATGCAGTGTGAACTTGCGCGTACTGTGTACCGCGGGCGCGTTCATTCCTCAGCAGAACCGTCAGGCGATCATGCGATTGAACGTGTGGATGCCAATGAAGAAGAAATGGCAGGGGAATGGTGTCGAGGGGGCAGTGGACGAGATGGCAGAGGGGAAAGTGCAGGCCCTGAATCCGCAGCTCATTGGCAGCGAATGTTGGACACCAAACGTTCCCTTTTCATCGACAAACTCCCCAAAAATGCTTCAGAACCTTTCATACAGAGTAATTTTGAAAAGTTCCTGCGGATGAATATTGCGAGTTTGTCCCGCAGCGGAGTCGGCGGTTGCAACCCGTATCTGTGCATGGTCCGTGTGCGAAGGATCAATGCAAAGCATTATGCTCTGGTAGAGTTTGCATCGCGTGAAGTCGCTGAGTTCATCCTGGACACTTACGAACGGGACCCATACACATTTGAGGGAATGCGCTGCAAAGCGCACTACGACTGGAAGAACCAATAACAGTCAGTTGCTTGATTCTTGCCAAAGTTGAGGTAGCAGTAGCGACAGTGGTGCACTGCTCGATCACTCCGATGCAGAGAGTGCTTGCACAGGTGCCATCACAGTCAAGTGCGGACTTCGCGTAGCTGGAGTTGCGCTCATTCATGAGCCCAAAAAGTCGCTTCGCGACCCATTGTCTGGTTCTCATTTTCCCTCCCTTCAACTGGAAGCTGGTCATCGTCCATCTATCCCCCCACGGCAACACATAGGTGGTTTCTCTCTGCAGCCCAGCAAGCAGAGAGGGACCATGTTGCAGCGGTGGTATGTTCCCAGACTGTGGGCAGCCCTGCGTATGGTGTTGTCAAAGGGCCTTATATATTCCTGACAGTCGCAGTGCAAGAGCGATGAATTTTCAAGACGTAGTCGCTTCTGGCGCCCACTGCATCTGGATGTGACTCGTGGAGTACGGCCTTTCTGGTTCACCCAATGCACTGCAGAATGGCTACTCTGGGGGGCTTTGGATGTATGTTCTATCTGTGGCTTTTACTTTGGGGTGTGCATGTGGCTCCATTGAGCTGCTGCACCATATTACATGCCATTTTTGAGTTACCCAAGTGCCACTATCCACAGAGTTCATGCTGTTGCTATGGCTGCTGTCGATTTCCACACTGGTAGCTGTGGTGTTTGGTTTCCCGAAGCGTGTAGGCCTGGTGTCTAGGCCTGAAGGCGCTGGTTGGGTAGAGCAATGGAATCTGCTGCGGAGGATTGAAACCTGGTTCTATCCTGTGGCAAGTCATTTAGAATGTGCTCATGTGCAGGTAAGAGACGTGGTCGAGCAAGAGGCCGTCGATCGTGATGGTGTCAGCTCCATGAAAGGACCAGCTGAGCCAGGAGTGATATTCTTGAATGTACTGATTGACTTGTTGCACAGCCTGAAGGCAAATTCAGTCAGTGGGTTTCTTGAAGCTTTTGCTGCACGCGTGTTCTTACAGAACAGGTGGTTGTCAATAAGGGAATCTCACGTGCAGCGCCAGCCTGGCGGTGGCAGGTTGAGGAGGAGCCAAGGACCAGGCGAAGGGAGCAAGGCTGCTTCAGCTGGAGCCTCTTCGGTTGGAAGATCTTGCAGATATTATAGCACCGTTCATTGTCGAAGGAAGGCCGTAAAGAAAAAAAAAAAAACGAGAAATTGGCATGTGACCAAGTTCTGTCCCAAGTAATGATGGTGCTCACAGTCCTCGGCTGAAGCACAGTCAAGTAGAGTTCTGAGGAGAATCTGGTGACAACAATACTCATTCTACGTTCATCAGCACGGCAGAAGTGGAGTAGAGGAGGGGAGATTGTAGTACTTCCTGCCGTGGCATCAGAGCTGTAGAACATTCATATTCAGAGCTAGCCTCGCCTCCCATGTGAAGCCATTGTACGTAGGTGCAAACCCCTAGGGACTTCGGGTGAAACATCGCCTTCTCCTTCCTCGTTCTCGTGCTGCCGATGGTTCGGGTCTGCTGTTGCTCGCGTGGTGTCAGCATAGGCCAAGTCGCCAGCTAAATCCACAACCTGTCGTAAGCTCTCATGCGCAGCACAGGGAAAGGGAAACAATTCATGAAACAATCGTCAAACCACCGGAGTACTTGGACCATGCATCGGCCGCAGGCCCGTCACATTAACGCGCTGCGACTTTAGGGGCTGGTAGCCGATGTATGGGCCAAGTACTGGTCGTTGAGTGATCTGGCCATGTGGCATGGCATTGGAGTTCCCATCAAGTACGTCCTCGAATACTGCTCCTGACTGTCTGACTGCGGGATTATGAAGGTCGGTGGGACGCATCAGAGAGCTCTATGATCTGGCCGTGTGGCATGCCATTGAGATTCCCGCAATTATGCCCTCGCATACGTCTCTTGACTGCCAGAGTGTGGGATCGTGAAGGTCGGTGGAAGGTCGGTGGAAACATGTCAGAGAGCTTAACGATCTGGCTGTGTGGCATGGCATTGGGATTCCGGCAAGTCTGTCCTCACGTACGGCTCCTGACTGTCAGACTGCAGGATCATGAAGGTCAGTGGAAAATGTCAGTGAACTCAGGATTGGATTGAAGGAGCATGGGTGTGCGCACTTGACTGCATATGAGTGAGAGAGAGAGAGAGAGAGAGAGAGAGAGAGAGAGAGAGAGAGAGAGAGAGAGAGAGAGAGAGAGAGAGAGAGAGAGAGAGAGAAGGAAGAAGTTTTGAGATTGGTGGCCTTCCTGGTTTGCAGTCTATCTTTGTCCTTGGTGATTACAACAACAAAGGGGTTTTCCAGCGTGGTATGGCAGTTGTTGGCTGCTTTGCAAGGAGATTTGAGCAGGTGGTGCGTCCGCTTTGTAGTGCTAATCCATGCCTGCCTCGCAACCGTATTTGTCAGAATCCCTGCCGGCCATTGTTCTTTCCGTTCATCGACGGGAACACTGAGAATCTTCAATGGACGACCGAAGGGAATGTAATCCCTCTGTCGGGTGCATGCAGCTACTGGAGTTCAGGTGATGTCTGTCTGCTCATCCAGCTGATCCCTACAGATGACGACGTACGGAAGCACTTCATTTTTGGTAGAACCGGCAAATGTGGTGGTGGTGTCAATGGAATCACCTCCACGCTCTCTTTTCTGTCCCCATCGCCCCATTCCCACCCCCAGCTATTGCAAGTATTTTTCTGAAACCTTAGCATGTCCTTCAGCCACCGGCGTTTTCATGTTCGTTATAAGCTCTTCTGAGAATATCTTCATCGTCGGGATTAGGCGGTAGCTCATCTCGATGAAGACCAGATAATCAAAGGGCTTTTGTGATTGGATGGTCATGTCGACCGCACTAGCTATTGCTTGTTCAGCGTCTTCACTCTTATGACTGCCATAACCTGTCTCCTGTTTGGCACTGGCACAAGCAGTTGAGCCTGAAAATTGTCTCTCTACAAGCTTGGTTGAATGAGTTGGGGGTGGAAGGGTATATAGAACAGAACAAGAACAGCTTTCAGACAGGGTGCAGCCAGGTAGCATATTACTTTCTTATCGGCATGCTGACCGAGTGTGTGGCCTGTGTCCAAAACGTGGATGGCAGTAGAGGTTTGTTCTTATCGAAGAGGTGTGGTATAGGGGTTATAATTGGTGGCTGAGAACCCTACCAGACAGTTGGCAGAGGGAACATCATTTTCAGGGGGATGAACCTGACCGGTGCTTGCCACATTGTATGATATAAGCCCATTCAGCATCAGTGGATGAACCAGACAGGTTTGTTCCAACTGATAACCAAAAATAGAATACGTTCACCCATCATCTTGTATGTTCTCATTTTTTCTTTACTCTCTTCGAATCAAAATGCTTAAGAAGTCCACGAGGGGGAAGGCCAGGCTGGCAGCATCACATCCAGAAGGGGGTAAAAGGCATTCGAGACGAGACGGAAAAAGTACGAGAAGCTAGTGTGGATCGGTGCTTTCAAGCTGTTAGGTTGTTTGACGGTAATGTAGCACTTGTGTGCAGAGTTTTTTTTTCTTTCTCCCAGCCCGTCTTTGTGCAGCGCTGGATTGACACCGCAGCCAAATCAAGTTGGCTGTGCCTGCTGAACAGTGAAGAGTTGAAGATTTAGGGTTTATTGGAACTTGGTCCACAAATCCGCCTGCCGATGTAGCAGAGACCTGTTCCACGCAGCAGGTTTGACTCAGAACCGACTGCCAAGAGATATATATATATATATATCTTGATGGGTTATCGGAGCTTAGTCCACATAACCGACTGCCAACGTAGTAGACCTGCTCCACTGAGCAGGGTCTCCCTCTCTCTCTCTCTCTCTCTCTCTCTCTCTCT